CACTTGTGCATCTTTTTTTGAGAAGTATCTGTTCATGCCTTTTGTCCACTTTTTCAGGAATTTTTCTTTATTTTTAGGCCTTTAAGTTTACTATAAATGTAGGCTTTTAAAAACTGTACTTATTTATTCTCTTTGGGTTTTACTATAATTCACAAGTTTGGAAATCGATGTCTCAAAAAAAATTGGAGAATTTTTGACCAATATTTCTTCAAATATATTTGTTCTCCTTTCTCTTTCTGGTACAAAAATTGCACATGTTAAACTATTGTCTTCAGTAGTCTGCAGCTCCAGTTATTCATTTTCAATATTTTCTACTTTATCTTCTTAGCAGATTGAGTAAGTCTGATGAATTCTTTCTTTTTCTACATTCTACTGTTAAGCCCAGTGATTTTATTAAATATGTTTTCATTTTATTTTAAAACATACATTACACTCATTTTCATGTTTTTTATTTCTTTACTGAGATTCCTTATATTTTTATTCATTTTGAGTGCATTCATCTTTATTTCGCTAAGTACTGATTTTGATTCATGGTCTACCAATTCCAGCATTTACATTATTTTGTGGTTGCACTCCTCTGTCTTTTCTATTGAGAATGGGTCACATACATTTTTCTTATTCTTTGTATGTTGAGTAATTTTTATGTTGTTCTGGTATACTATAAATGTTCTGCGGTGGAGAATCCAAATTCTGTTATACTCTTTAAACATTGCTGATTTCTTTTTTATTGTTGTTTTTGTGGGTCATTGATTTGTTTTCATTCCAGCTTCAAGCTCTGTCTCCTGAGTCATAATTAAATTCTCAGTTTTGATCATTTAGTTTTTAAAACATGCTTTGAGTCTGCCTTGCACATGCATCATTCAGTGGACACTCAGGTATTTGGACATATTTTGTGCACAGAATTTAGGGCTCCCCTTCTTTGGTTCTTCTTTCTGAAATAACACACCAGTCTCCAATGTTTGTGATTGCTTTCTGATAGCTCTTATTTTTCAGGTGAGAGAGACAGCATGATGTTTATTAATTCTCCACTAACTTTTTGAACTACTAAGTGCCTCCTATTCTTCAAGTAAAACCTAGAGAAACTGGAAAATCACATTGTGCCACTCCCTTTGTTCAAGTGTCACCTTTCTACAATATTTACTTCCTTTTTATACTTTTCAGAACTTTCTAGCAATTGCTTTAAGAGTATTTTAATGTATTTTGAACTTCTGGTTTATTTTGAACAAGTAAAGTGCTTGAAAGGTTTTTTTTTAAATCCTTTTGACAAGAAAAGGCTGGAAAAAGTAAAAATCGACAAATTTTCCTGGACCCAGCAGAGAAGTAAAGATGCAGTAAGTATCCTAAATCTGGAGACATGGTCATATTTAAAGAGACACAGGAAGAAAAATTACTTATGAAGAGGAGAAGCTTCTAGAGCCATAAACTGGTGGGAATACTTAAATTATATTTTGATGAATATTTGGTGGCTGATTATAGACTAGCAGAAGAATGAGGAACTCTTGGGAGATACAGTCTTATGGGACTATGTCTACACTATCTTAGGCTTTCCATCCAGAACCCCAGCACATTCTTATAGTGAAAATTTGAGAAAGATTCCCCTTAAGAAATAATCTTCTAAAATGCCTCCATCTGTCCAATCCCTTCTATTCTTTGTTCTCACCCAGGGAAAAATTATATCAACAGAAGATGGGACTTTTAGGAAAAAGACTGGGAAAGTATCGACCAGGTAGAGAAGTGAAAGGAAAAGAAAAAATAAGCTATACCACGTGAGGGTAAACAAAAATACTTGTGAAAGCCACAGTCATTAAACACAACAGAAAACAAAAAAGCTGAGATTAATCAGAATATTATAGAACAATCCCCCTCAGCCACATCCTATTACCAAATCCACAAGTCCCTACTATAATGAGAGTGGACTGCAGATGAAAAGAGCTGGAAGATCTGCCAGACTCCCTCCAAGGGGCAGCAAATTGAGAATTTCACCAAGCCAAGAGAGGATGTAAAAATAAGAATATTACATTAACTTGAAATCTCTAACAACTATAGCTACATCAGACATTAAACACAGCCCAACTCATAGCATGATTAAAATAAATCATCACACTAAAGTCTTATTTACTTTAGTTCACATTAGTCAATACAGGATGTCTGACAAAAATGACAATATGTACAAAAAGGTAAAGAAAAATATGGTCTAAAAGGACAGAAAATATCAGAACCAGACTTAGATATAATACTTATGTAAAAATCTTCAGACAGAGAAATAAAAATAGCTATAATTATGCTAAGGAATCTAATAGAAAAACTGGAAAACATTCAAGAACAAATAAATGAAGCAATCAGAGATGTACAGCCTAAGAAAGAATCAAAAAGAAATACTAGGGAAAAAAAACCCAACAGTAACAGAAATGAAGAATGCCTTTGATGCGCACATCAAAAGACTCAAAAAAGAATTAGCAAACTTGAAGACAGATTAATAGAAACTTCTCACACCAAAATGCAAGAAGAAAAAAAACAACATTAGAGAAAAACAGTACAAAACATGCAATACGTGGGAGAAAGTTTCAAAGTGTATGAAATACATATAACTTGAATATCAAAGAAGAAGAAAAGGAAAAAAGAAATATTTAAAGAATTTGTGTCTGAGAACTTTCCAAAATTAATTATCAAAAGCAAACTAAGTATCTAGAAACATAGAGAACACCAAACTGGAATAAATCAAAACAAACACAAATCTCAGCACCATTAGCAACTGAAAACCTACCTAGGCATATCATACTCAAACTGTGGAAAACTGAAGAGAAAAAATCTTAAAGAAAGTTCAAGGAAAAAAAAATTCCTTATCTTAAGAGTAACAAGCATGAAAACTGAAGTAGGTTTTTTATCAAAAATCATGCAAGGAAATACAAAGTGAAGGAAAATATTTAATATTTTGAAAGCAAAATCCCACCAAATCTAGAATACTATGCCCAGTGAAACTATTCGTCAAAAGTGAAGAGACAAAGACTGCCTCAAAAACCAAAAATAAGAAATGTATTGTCAGTAGATCTGTCTTAAAAGAAATGTCAAAAGAAATTCTTCAGACAGATATAAAATAATATAGATCAGAAACTGAGATCTTTAAAAAAGGCAAAGTGCTGATGAACAAATAAATAAATGAAAATAAAATATATGGTTTCTATTTTAATTTATATAAAAATAATTGTACTTTTAAAGCAATAGTAACAATGTATTGAGTGATTATAGCATAAGGATTAGTGAAATCTAGACTGTAATGTCACAAGTGATAGGAGAAAAGGATTGGAAATATTGACTTTGCCATAAAGTACCTGCACTACAGATGGAGTAGTATAGTGATATTTTATTTTATTTTGAGACGGAGTTTCACTCTTGTTACCCAGGCTGGAGTGCAGTGGCGTGATCTCGGCTCACCGCAACCTCCACCTCCTGGGTTCAGGCAATTCACCTGCCTCAGCCTCCCAAGTAGCTGGGATTACAGGCATGCGCCACCATGCCCAGCTCATTTTTTGTATTTTTGGTAGAGACGGGGTTTCACCATGTTGACCAGGATGGTCTCGATCTCTTGACCTCATGATCCACCCGCCTCAGCCTTCCAAAGTGCTGGGATTACAGGCGTGAGCCACCGCACCCGGCCAGTATAGTGATATTTTAATAGGACGTAGACCATCTTTAAAGATGTATTTTATAAACTCTAAGGAAACCAGTAAATATTTTTAAAAGAAGTATGATGAATACATCAATTCTCTAAGAAGACATAAGAGTCCTTAACAGAATGTAAACATGCATGAGGCAAAAATTGGTAGAACCAAAAGAATAAATTTACTATGATAGTTGGAGACTTCAACACCGCTTTTTCAAAAATTGATATATCAACTAAGCAAAAAGTCTGTAATAAGTTGGTGCAAAAGTAATTGTGATTTTTGCAAATGAAAAATAATTACAAATTGATTCATTTGATGACCTGAGCATTGCTATCACTCACTTTGACCTGACATTTATAGGATCCTCCATCTCAAAACTGCAAAATGCACATTCTTCCCAAACTCACATGGAACATTCATCATGATGGAACACATTCAGTGACATAAAATACACCTTAACAAAATTAAAATAATCAAATTCATTCAAAGTGTATTCTCACACCACAATGGAATTAAATTAGAAAAAAATACCAAAAAAGACAGAAATCTTCCAAATATTTGAAAATTAAACCACACATTTGTGAATAAACTATGAACAAAAGAATAATTCTGAAAAGAAATTTAATACAATATTGAACTAAATAAAACTGAAAATACAATTTTTATGTGTGTATTATCTGTCAGAGGGCCAGTCTAGTAAAAGCTCACTTATCTATTACATTTTATAATTGATTCTTAGAAATATTATGTAACTTGTTGGGTGAGTTTTCATACAAACAGATATTTCCTGACATTTATCAGGTTAAGTTTGCTTTCTTTAGTCTTTCATTATTATTATTATTATTATTTTTTTTTTTTTTTTTTAGAAACCAAGTATTCCTTTGTTGCCCAGATGGGAGTTCAGTGGCACTATTACTGCTCACTGATGCCTTGAATTCCTGGCCTCAGGGGATCCTCCTGCCTCTGGCTTCCAAAGCATTGGGATTATAGGCATGAACCACCACGGCTGGCCTTCTCAATTTTCAATTGATCACTTTGTTTTACTGCTTCTTTTATTTTCCGTTTCTAGCTTTCCCGAATTCATCCAATTTTTATTATTTCTTCCTATTTTCTATTTTTAGTGGTGCCTCCAATAGTTAGTAAAATTATTTTTGTGCATATATATATTTATATATAATATTCGATATAATTCTAAAAATAAAAATTAACATTGCAATTATAGACATAACATAACTGCTTATGTAGATTATAACATTATAGTTGCATGCATAACTGCTTATGTAGATTTCTTGGTAACAGATGTCTTTCCAATTCTGCATTTTTTAATATTTTAAAAAGATAATGTAGGTTGGGAACAGTGGCATGCACCTCCCAGCTACTCAGAAGGCTGAGGCAAGAGGATTGCTACAGCCCAGGAGTTTGAGACCAGCCTGGGCCACACAGCAAGACGCCATCTCATTTAACAGAAAAGTAAATCCACAAAAGCATACATCATATAATGTAACACTAGAAACAGGATCTGCAACACAGTGATATGTCTATTCTCCTTCCTGATATGTTGTTTATTATATAAAAACCATAATGAGATGTTTTGGGCCTCATGATGCTTTAACATTTAATAAAGTATGTTTTCAATTGCACAAAGAGATTTTGTGTGTATGTCTGGGAAACACAGATGAAACTTACGGAAAATCCCTAGACCCTGAAGCTTTCACATAACATCTACTATGCACAATCCAGGTCTTTCCTTTGAAATTTCAACTCTATTGAATTTGGTTCTTTGTCCCACATTTTTGGGGCCTATGGAAAAATCATTGTAATTAGACATGTGTGCCCTTCTTCCCCCAATCACACACATACGACACATACATAAACAAGCGTACCAGGTCAAAAGGTATGCTTGTTTCAGAATGATTCTTTACACGATTGAAATGTTTATGTCAGAAAGCTCTACTAACTTCATATATGTATTGGAATACAAATAAGGGTTTCTATAGGTCAGAACTATTCAAATATACCTTTGATATTCTCGTTCACAAAGTAAAGACATTTTCTCCTAGATTTGTTCAATATTTAGTAGTGGAGGTAGATGGAGGAATAGATCACTGTAAAACCACTTGTTAAGTGTGATATTAGAGACAGATCCAGTCAGATGTGCTCAGAATACAAATAACTTACTCCTTGGTAGGATATGCTATACATACGTCAATGGGGTTTAATGTTACATTTGCATTTGGTTTATTTTGTTATCACCTCAAATTATTGACTCATCGAGCATACCCTTCATTAAAAACTAAGATAACTTATTTGTGAAACTATTTTACTTCTGCTGTACTATGTACCCATAGTAATTTCCAGGATAAAAATGTAAAATAGAAAGTTATAACTAAAATTTCTGACAAGATTTCTGCTATGCCAGTTCAACTTTTAATTTAGTTTCATACCACATTTTTTGCTTTTGTTACGGATGGTAATAAAACTTATAAAGCAATGAATAATACAACTTTCTAATAATAGACAGAGCTACATAACAGATTATACTTTAATACAAATAGGCATCATAACCAAAAGCAAAATGTAACATGTCTAATGTTTTTTCTATGGAAAGAAAATCTCCTATGAATTATAGGAGTGTGAAAAAGGTCATGTAGTGAGTCCGGATATTCAAAGTAAAATCTTGAGACAAGAGAAAATGGGATAGCAAACATTTATTTAATTAATTTATTTGTTTATTCAAGAAACAGTAAGTATTTGCTGTTGGCCAGCTCCTGTTCTAGAAGCTGGTAAAGCAGCAGAGAGTACATTAGGTAAGTGTCCATTTTATCTAGCACTAATATTCTAGTGTGAAGAAAAAGAAAAGAATCAAAGTTAACTAATAAAATATGCATATTATCATAAGTTATCACTGCTATGGAGAAAGATTAAGTAAGGAAACAGGACAGAGTATAGTGTCATAGATGGATGAGATTTTACATTAGTTGGTCAGGATAATTTCTCACTGAAAAGCTCATATTTGAGTAAAGACACAATGGAGGGAAGGGGAGAAAGCCACAGGTCTATCAGGTAGGTGAGTATTTAAAGCAGATGGACTAGTAAGTGCAAAGACAGGAACTCTTTCTTTAATTTAAACAGCTTTAGTGAAGAATAAATGACATATAAATAGTTTTACATATTAAAGAACTGCAAATATTTAACATATAGTATTTGATGATTTGGGGTCTATGGAAACCCATGTTTTTCGACACCATAACCAGAATCAAGGTAATAGATACAGCCAATAGTTTCCAGTTTCCTGAATCTCTGCCATTTTTTGTTTATTTTGCATTAGGAATACTTAATACGAGATGTACAGTCTTAACAAATTTTGAAGAGCACAATACTGTATTATTGACTGTAGGCACTATGTTATACATCAGATCTCTAGAATATGTTCACCTAGCATAACAGACACTTTCTACCCACTGAACCACTTCCCAGTTCCCTTACCTCGGAGCCTGGTAACCGTTACTATATTACCTGTGTCTATGAGTTTGGCTATGTAAGATACCATGAATAAAAAGAATCATGCAGTGTTTGTCCTTCTCTGACTGGCTTACTTTACTTGGCGTGCTGCCCTCCAGCTTGGGGCATGTTGTTGCATATGGCAGTTTCCTTCATTTAAATGAGTAAATAATATTCTCTCTCTCTCTCTCTCTCTCTCTCTCTCTCGCTATGTGTGTGTGTGTGTGTGTGTGTGTGTGTGTGTGTGTGTGTGTGTGTATCATGTTTTCTTTATCCACTCATTTACTGGCGGACAGCTGGACTGTTGTTTCATAGTTCGGCTATTGTGAATAATGTTGCAATAAGCATGAGAGTGTGGCTTATCTCTTCAAGATAAAAGGCAGGAACTTGCCTGTAGAGTTTTCTGAATAACAGGAAGAGTACTCTGGCTACGGAGAGGGAATGAAGGGGAAGAATATACAATTCAATATGTATAAAATCAAATAAGTTTTTTTAGTGTCATGGAGTTCTTTCTAATATGCATATATTACTCAGTATAAATGCTTTTGACTAAAAGGATAAAGATGCAGGCTCCATTTTACTTTGGAAGCTAGCTCCATCTTAACATAGAAGTCTAATTTCTTCTTGCTTCTCTCACAGCCCTCTATGCTCTAATACTATTCAGTTATTCCTCTTCTTCATATTGTGCATGTTCTTTCTACACTAATATTTTCACAAATAAGTTTTTTTTGCTTATAAGCTTTTTCTGATATTTCTCATTTTACTCCATATAAGAATAGTTTCTTCTTTAAGAGCTTAAATATACACAGTCTCCTTTAGATTTTCCTGTCCCTAGAATTATAAGGCATGTCTCTATGTGCTACCATAATGCACTATACCTAACCTTTTATCACTTTAATAACACCGTACATTAAATGCTGGCTTACTTATCTATTAGGTTATCGAGTGTAGGGCTTTGTCTTATTTACAGATACTTTCCTGTATCCAGTGCAAGTCTTTGCACAAGTATTTGTGAATAAACAAAAATTCAATTGGCCTTAAAAATGATAATTGCCATGATAATTTTAACAACAAAAATCACAATCAACTTGCTTTATAATGAAGTTTTCTACTCTGAAAGTGGGAACAGTGTCATAATAAAAAATACTTTGCATTTGCTTCACTATAATTAGAAAAAGAAAATATGCATAAAGGAGAACCCTAACAGTCTTCAGACATACAAGGAAAATGAAGTAAATTGCTGTTAGTATGAATAATTTCACTCTTCAACATTTATCTCAAAGTAAAAAATTCCACTTGAAAAAGAATAGGCAGTTGATTAGTTACTAATATGATAACAACGTTTATTATGTGTTCAAAATATGTCTTGTGTTGTACTGAATACTTACACTTTCCAATTGCTGACACTATTTTTTATTTGGAGTACTTGGGCTTTTAATTTGCAAAGATAAATTCCTCAAAAGATGGTGTAAAGAGAAAAATAAAGTAACTCTGATAGTCTAATTTTGTTAATAAGATGATTTTTAAAAAACTTACTCTCTTATGATAGATATTACTTTTTCTTATTTTAGCACTTTCAGGTAAAGGTGTAAGTCTTATTGGCTATTGCTGAGAAATGGTTTTCTGACAATTACAGCAAGAAACATTTCCATTAGTTAAAAATATTTTATACTTTCACTTGTTTCCGTGACTTCATATCTTGGACAAAGGTGAAATTAAATGCAAAATATAACTGAATTAATCATGTCTAGATATAATTATGTATGTCCAGATATGGTTTATCCCAGGACATGATGATTCCTCACAGAACTATTACCTACCATTAACAAAAAATACATTGTCTGGGCAAAAAACACCATTGACGTAAATAACCAGCTTGATGTACAAACAAAAATATATGTGAATATATATATAAATATATATACTGTATGAGTGTATATGTATATGTGTATATATAAATATATATACTGTATGAGTGTATATGTATATATGTGAATATATATAAATATATATACTGTATGAGTGTATATGTATATATATATGTGAATACATAAATATATATACTGTATGAGTGTATATGTATATATGTGAATATATATATAAATATATATACTGTATGAGTGTATATGTATATATATATGTGAATACATAAATATATATACTGTATGAGTGTATATGTATATATGTGAATATATATATAAATATATATACTGTATGAGTGTATATGTATATATGTGAATATATATAAATATATATACTGTATGAGTGTATATGTATATATATATGTGAATATATAAATATATACTGTATGAGTGTATATGTATATATATGTGACTATATATAAATATATATACTGTATGAGTGTATATGTATATATGTGAATATATATATAAATATATATACTGTATGAGTGTATATGTATATATGTGAATATATATAAATATATATACTGTATGAGTGTATATGTATATATATATGTGAATATATAAATATATACTGTATGAGTGTATATGTATATATGTGACTATATATAAATATATATACTGTATGAGTGTATATGTATATATGTGAATATATATATAATATATACTGTATGAGTGTATATGTATATATGTGAATATATATATAAATATATATACTGTATGAGTGTATATGTATATATGTGAATATATATATAAATATATATACTATATGAGTGTATATGTATATATATGTGAATATATATATAAATATATATACTGTATGAGTGTATATGTATATATGTGAATATATATATAAATATATATACTGTATGAGTGTATATGTATATATATGTGAATACATAAATATATATACTGTATGAGTGTATATGTATATATATGTGAATATATATATAAATATATATACTGTATGAGTATATATGTATATATATACACTATATTTTTTTCTGATGGTGATCAAATATTAATTTCTTAACTCTTAATGTGGTATATATATATAAATAATGTAAACTTATGAAAACATATGTATGTATGTTTTCTTTCTTTCTGTTTTTCTTACTGTCAGGATGCTGTAAAGAAGCACCCTTAAAATTGTTTTTTTTTTTAATTTTACTTTAAGTTCTGGGGTATATGTGCAGAACATGTAGGTTTGTTACATAGGTATACGTGTGCCATGGTGGTTTGCTGCACTTATCAACCCATTATCTAGCTTTTAAGCCTCACGTGCATTGGGTGTTTGTCCTAATGCTCTCCATCCACTTGTCCCACACCCCAACAGGCGCCAGTGTGTGTTGTTCCCCTCCCTGTGTCCATGTGTTATCACTGTTCAACTCCCACTTAT